TAGAGTTCATTGCTGCCTCGGATGGATTTGGTGCTCTTGCTGTGCTTCGTGGCCACTTGTTCGAAGGGCATGTGCATTCGGTACTGCCGCGAGGTGGAACGTTTAAAGTTCGACGTTTGGTCGAAAACAACGAGGCGTACGATGATGATGATGACCCTATGGGAGATGAATGGGACGGCGATGACGAGGATGGTGATGATGGCATGAATGCAGATGATGCCGTTGCGATGGAAGAATCCAATGCTGTGGCGTTGGTCGACGGTGGCGCCGCACCTGTTATTTCTTTTGAGAGATTCGAGAAAGTTGTCGTTTTCAATGATGACAGTGAAATTGAAGCTGCTACTAACACGAGTTACCTACAGCCAGCGGCGAAGAATTACCAGTCGGTCGATGCGATCATCAAGCCGGATATTTTGTTGCAGGTGACAGGTGCACACAAACACCCCTGCAAGCAAAAAGGTCTCCACGATGTGTTGAAGCTTCTGGGAAATCCTGAACAGCCGCGGCTGTTCTTCGTGCTTCCGCCTGACAGATTCACCGATTTTAATTATCAAAAGTATCTGGACTCAAAACGCAAGAGGATGATGGCGCCAAGCTATGAGAATGTGTGCAAGATACAGCAGTTTGCGATGGAAGTCAAACTTGAATCGGAGTAGGTGTGCAGTTCCGAGGTTCCAAAACCGCGTTCCGAACCGGTTCCAAAATGATGCCGTACTTCTTTGGTCCAGAAAAGAATTAACAATGAGATAAAAAAGCCTCGCATGTTTGATTGGTCAATGTCTACTCTGAGATGGGTTCGATTGGTTAAAATGAGCTCATATGAGGATGCGGATAGAGAGTAATTGACACAAAAATGGATTGAATTGCTTTTAGTGATATACCACTAGATTAAGCTTTATTTGCTTTTTTCTAGTATATTTTAAAGTTTATTTCTGAGGTGTGTTGAGTTGTTTTCCTTTTGGATTATTTTTGACGTCGAAGCGAAAAAAAAAATCTACCCTCCATAAAGTGATAGTTCAAATGGTCAAAATTGGCAAAATTGGCGGGAAATTTGATCATTAAATAACCGTGCTGATGCTGCGTAAGTAGGTAGAGCTTTCAAACTAACTCAAACACGCTTCCGTTGGAGCTGTACGACCAAAGTTATCGCCGATTTATAGAGCTGTTAATTCTTTTTCGGATTAGACAAGTACTTACTAGAGCTGCTGTGGTGCTTCAATTATAAAGTGAATTGCAATTATATGTGTTAATTGTGGGAACCCTGGTTCCAAAATTTTCGGAACCATATTTTAATAACTAGAAGGGCTGTGGTTACATTGACATCTTCCGTTGGTGCTCGGGCTCCGAGTTCTTATACTCTTAAATATATATAAATTATAGAGAGGGGGTAGGGGGTAGTATAGAAAGAACATATAGAGAGACAGTGCTGCATTTTTTTTGTGGAACTGGGAAACTCGGTCCCGCATGTTGTATAAAACCTACCATGATCATACTAGTTAATGTTACGTCGGTTCGGTGACATGGAACCGGTTCAGGTCATGTTTAGGAGCTTTACGCACTACAGAATTTTAATAACTACAATCACTCTGGTAATCCCTCGTTTAAAGTGCCGATCGAGGACAATGTACGAGAATTCACATTAGGATTACGTTAACTCGCGCGTTCTTTCTCTGAGCGTACGCTAGTGGACGGACTGCTTTGATTATGTTACATCGTCCGCTCAACCTGTGCATAAAATGGCATCTAGAGTACCCCTCGCCGCCCTTAGAGACAGCGATGATGTACCATGTAGTACAGTATTAATACGTCACTTTACGCACGAATCGAAGCTCTCAAGACACTCAAAGGACCAGTATCGGAAGTGGACGGAGGCTGTCGCCGCCTCGTCCCCGTCCTGTCCCTCACCATGTTCCTCTGATATCCGAATTTTCGGAAGTCGTCACTTACAATAACAGCCGTTATCCCAGCGAACGCTCCACCAATCACAATGCATAAAATAAAAGAGTGGTGCAGCACCAATAGGGAAGAATAGAATAAAAAAGGCAGCCAACAGCAAGAGCCTTTTGCCCCGAGGCCATGAAGCAAGATAGGATCGCAAGCTGCGGCCCGCATCACAAGAGAGGCGACGCCTGGACTGTTTTGCCGTACGAGGGAGGCGATGCTTGGATAGTGTACGCTGTGCTGTCGTGTGAGGGAGGTGATGACCGGTAGATGGTATTGAAAGGAGGATTCTGGGTTTGAGTGAACGTTGTGCTGAACATGGTGGTGCGTGTATGGGGCATGCGCAGAATGACGCGTGCATGCTAGGTGGAGTGTAGTGTATTGTTATGATAAGCTATTGTCCGAGTGTGGTGATACCTGTACAAGGATAAGAATAAGCGCTAGAGCGTGTGAAGAAGCTACATGAGGAAGAAACTCCGGAGGGGACGACACGGTAAGCCTACGGCAAGATTAAAACGAAGGAAAGCGGGATGAATGAGCAGATGACTCGCTAGTGAAAAGGTAATGCATGCGTAAAAACCTAGTGAAGAAATATCTAATACGAAACACTCACTTGTGACTGCGGTGTATTTAGTCTTATGTAGTTTACAGTCTCCAATTGAAGCTCTCACTCAGTGCGTTGAGGGTATGTTGTGACTGTTTGCGCTGAGCCTCCAGAATGCAGACTGCTTCATCTTCATTAACTTTCTATTCCTGTGCGATCAGATTAACTCGATCAATAATTCTTTTGCGCCTGAAGTCGAATCGCTTCTCGGCTGGATTATTTCGCCAATTGGATCCGTGTAGCTTCTCCAATTCGCGTACAGCAGGACCACCATTAATTCCCGTCGTCCACTCCTGCCATACTTGATGAACCGTTTTGAGAGATCTCGTGAGCTTGTACGTCGTGGGTAGCTGCGAAGTCTGAGCTGGAGCCGAGGTTGCAGCAGTTGGTGTGTTCAAGTCGAAGGTCAAACGTACGGTGGCGGCACCAGAGGTAAGCTGTGAAATCGTATTCTTAATGTGATTACCGACTTCGCTGAGTTTGTTATCAATGTGTGCCAGTGTTTGTTCTTGCTGCTGTCTTAGATGCTGCATTAAATCTGGCAAATGATCCGCTTGCGGTTATTTCTCCGTGAGCATTTTGGGTTTCAGCTCAGCTGCGAATGTGTTAAACTCGCTGCACTAAATGGAGGGTGAGCCCATAGTTTATGCGTCGGGTGAAGGTCACGCAGCAGAACCGCGTCCTGTAGGACAGCTATACGAAGGTACAGTAGTAACTCGAAGAAGCCCCCGGTTGCTACGTTGGGTGCCGACTGTTGTTTGTATGACGCATATAGTCATCGACAAAGGGAAATACGCCACGCTGAAGCTGCTCAGGAGGAAGAAGAGCTGCCCGCTCTAAGAAAAACGACCGTTTGTCAGGGGGAAATCCTGCTAGAGACCGCATCGCTTCTCGTGGCAAAGCGCTCAGGTAACAGATCTCCATTGCGGATGCATTCCACCTTCCTAACCGTCGAATTTGTGAATCTGTAGCACCTGCTAATTCGGCCATCCTTGCTCCTGAACCCCGTGCCGCATGTGTCTTAGCCTTCGTATGCATGCCTAATGCTGTGAACGCCTTTATAGTGGCGTCGTAATGCGATCGGTATGTCATTGATTTTGTTGGATTCTTGTTTGACTTTAGAAGTTTGATGTCGTACCAGTCTTCAGGGGCCAGAAAGTTAGGTAGCAATTCCATTTGCACACACCAGCGATAAAACAGATACAGAGTGAGTGCCCCAACTGGGCAAACCTCAACATTGATGTGCCTAATACACGAACCAAACTCACGACGGCCGAACCGGTTTGTTTCCCCCTGCTCCATTATCATGACTAGTGCCCGGCAATCTGTAAATCCTTCGTGTTCCAGAATCACACTAAAAAGGTCAGGTAACTCCAAATTACGGGCAGACTCGCCTCTTAAGAGACATGCGTGGTACAGGAAATGACTCATCCGATTCCGTAGATCAGCACCTGTGTTCAGGCCCATATAATAACGAGAAATCGCAACCAGATCGGCTGTGGTGCAGTACCCATCCAGGAGAGATCCGACGCCTCGGTCAGCATATTCGCGTTTTTTTCGCGTTTTTCTTGCTTCAGCGTTGAAAGTAGTGCTTTAATCCAGCTGTTGCGTGGATGAGGGAGTGAATTCACACCTCTAGTCTGCTGATCGCTGTACAAATCTGACATAGCGGTCACGTACATATCTACAGTAGCAACTCCAATCTTTCGCTGTGAATTTCTGACACGAACTTCGCGATATACCACTTCTTCACGTAGAAATAGATGTAGCTTCGATGCCGTAACTTGGTAGCGTGTAGTTTCATGAAATTTCTTGCGGTCACACCATGCCTTGAACTCGCGCTGTTTTGGCTCGTACGCTCGAGCTGTATTTGCAGGGCGGGATTCACGACACCGGTCCAGCGTTGCGTGGGCACTCTCTTCAAGCTCCACCTGACGAGATGGCACCTCTACAGCTAGATCCAGCAATGGAGCTATTGCCTCTGTAACAGAAATACATCTACCTTCAAAACTGTAGTAGATGATTTTTATGGCATTTGGAAGGTTTTAACTATTCACGCTGAAACGTTTTTACTGAGTGACGCCGTCCTCCATACTTAGAGCATGTGGGTAAGAGGACACCTAACCCTAAAAAGATAATCATTCATTACCGTACTGTACATCATCGCTGTCTCTAAGGGCGGCTAGGGGTACTCTAGATGCCATTTTATGCACAGGTTGAGCGGACGATGTAACATAATCAAAGCAGTCCGTCCACTAGCGTACGCTCAGAGAAAGAACGCGCGAGTTAACGTAATCCTAAATGTGAATTCTCCGTACATTGTCCCCGATCGGCACTTAAACGAA